TCCCTACAGATGGTCTTCCCCAGCTCGTTCCTCTCCCCCTCCTCACAGAGGCATACTGGGAGCCAAATCCTACAGTTGCGTGCAAGTCAGACTTTAGTGCACACCACCTGAGCAGGTTTCCTCATTCTACGCTGTACAGCTGGGGCAGTGCCCCATGGCAGCACTCAGGGGTGAAGCAGTAGCTATTCCCAGCCCAAATGGCACATGGCTGATACTGAAGGTGCCTCCATGGGGCCAGCTCTGTAGAAGCCTAACTGCAGAAGAGCCCTCCTCACGCAGGCATTTACCAACCTCACACGGTCAAAGCCTGAGGTCCTTTCTGCACCTGCAGAGCTTCAGAGACTACAACACTGAGGACAGAAGAGGCCAGCAGGTGGTCAGAGGTTTGATGGCACCTGGGCAGCCTCGTACAGCCGGGGGCTGTCTGTTTGAGGCACTTTCATCCATCCCATGCTTCTGGGATACGGCTACTGGGCTGCAGAGACCCATGTGGACATCTTGTCCCTCTGATGGACATTTTGTTCCTGTCTGGCAGACATTTTGTCCCCCTTAGCAGACATATAGTCCCCCAAGACCTGCTGGCCTAAGTTGGGGCAGGATGCCATGGTGCAGAAGAGCCTGGCAGCCAAGGTCAAGGGCAGGATGCCACAGCACAGAGCGACCAGTCCTTGCAGGACTCCTGCATGGCATGGGTGTGCTGGTGTGGGCTCACACCAATGCTCTGGCCCAAGACCTTGCCACACTGGGTGCCCTGGTGAGGGGCCTCACCCCGGTGCCCACAGGGTTGCTGCAGGCACATGGTCCCATCCCCCGGGCCCCGCTTGCCGGTTGGGGCACAGGTGTGTGGATGCTGCCCTGCATGGGTCCGGCGGTGCTTGCTGAGGGTGGAACTGTCACCAAAGCGCTTGCCGCACTGGGCACATGGGTAGGGCCGCTCCCCGGTGTGAGTGCGCTGGTGCTGCAGCAGGTTGGAGCTGAGCCCGAAGCGCTTGCCACACTGTGAGCACTGGTAGGGGCGCTCACCCAGGTGAGTGCGCTGGTGCTGCACCAGGTTGGAGCTGAGGCTGAAGTGGCGCCCACACTGGGTGCACTGGTAGGGGCGCTCGCCAGTGTGGGTGCGCTGGTGCTGCAGCAGGTTGGAGCTCTGAGTGAAGCGCTTGCCACACTGGGAACACGGGTAGGGGCGCTCACCAGCATGTGTGCGCTGGTGCTGCAGCAGGTTGGAGCTGAGGCTGAAAGCTTTACCGCACTGGGCACATGGGTAGGGGCGCTCACCCGTGTGGGTGCGCTGGTGCTTGAAGAGGGTGGAGCTGAGGCTGAAGGCCTTGCCACACTGGGCACATACATAGGGGCGCTCGCCGGTGTGTGTGCGCTGGTGCTTGATGAGTGTGGAGCTCTCACCAAAGCCCTTCCCACAGGCCGGGCACTTGTAGGGCCGCTCACCAGTGTGGGTGCGCTGGTGCTTGATGAGCGTGGAGCTGTCGCCGAAGCCCTTGCCACAAGCTGGGCACTTGTAGGGCTTCTCGCCTGTGTGTGTGCGCTGGTGCCGGATGAGGTCAGAGCTCTGGCCGAAGCCCTTGCCACAGGCTGGGCACTTGTAGGGCTTCTCACCTAGGTGGGCGCGCCTGTGCTGAACCAGCTCAGTGCTCTGCCTGAAGTGGCGCCCACAGCTGCCACACTGGTGGGGCCTGTCGCGGCCATGCACTCGCTGGTGCTGCAGCAGGTAGGAGCTGAGGATAAAGGCCTTACCACACTGCATGCACTTGTAGGGCTTCTCCCCTGTGTGAGTGCGGTGGTGCTTAAGTAGCGTGGAGCTGTCGCCGAAGCCCTTGCCACAGGCTGGGCACTGGTAGGGGCGCTCGCCTGTGTGGGTGCGCTGGTGCCGGATGAGATCAGAGCTCTGGCTGAAGCCCTTCCCACAGGCCATACACTTGTAGGGCTTCTCCCCAGCCAGGGCTTTTGCGGGTGAAGTCACATCATGGAGCTCCCCTGCGCCTTCCCCATGGTCAGGTTGGCCTGAAGGGTCCTGACAGGCCTGTGGTACCTGGCACTTGCTCTCCAGGCTCCAGGAAGTGGCCTGGCTAGATCCTCTCAGCAGCATCTCATGCAGTTCTGTTTTCGCAGAGTCAGGAGCATCCACCTTGCTGTTGCTTGGGATCCCCTCATCTGCAGGAGCAAAGAGGAAATCTGGCTGTGACTCACCCTGTTGGCTACAGGGACCACCAGAAGGGACCTGCACATGGCTGAGCCATTAATGCCATGACCCTGCCTGTACACAGGACCAACCCCTTCTACCTTGAGATGTGATCTAAGTCCCCCATTCAGGCAAGTCCCCAGCCTGTGAAAATGCTCTTACCTCAGGCTAAGCCAGATTGAGGTTGTTTTTTTTGCACAAACAAACCAAAATAGTTGGAAGTAGGAGGTATCCAGAATAAGCCACTCAAACTGAAACTGGAGCATCTACATGCAGGAACTTGTACCAGTTTCACTCAGGGGATTTAACCGTAAGTTCACAGAACAACTTTCTCATGCAGACCAGGCCTACGGCTGAAAATCATCAGCATCCTCAGAGATAAACTAGGCAATTCTCCTCTGTGTGCTACTGAACACCTTAGAAAGGATGAGATGGAAGAAGAGCCTCCCAGAACCCAATCTGAACTTTCAGTTTCCTTCTGGAACCAGCCAAATGGGTCACCTGCTCCTGTGTTTACTCCATCCTTAAGACAGCTGCCTCCTCTGCATTGTCCTGTGCCACATAGGGTGGGCACTTCACCTATGGCTGGCTGCTCGTGCGCTCTCCCTGCTAAAAGAACCCACCTGCTTTCCATCCAGGTGAGACAAGACCCCAGTACCCTGAGGAATATGCACCAAAGGCCTTCCCCTCACTCTGTGGGTACCTTTCTCTGGAATGCACCAGCCCTTCTACCATAAATTGTTCTTCATTTGGTTTCCAGCTGGCATGAGGTGCTACCTTTAAAGCCCAGCTGAGAGTTACATACTAAACAACAGTATGACTGTCGAGGTAGACACACAAACGTTAGCAAATACCAGAATTCAGATTACATTGCACCCTGAAATCAGCCTCCTTGGGCACAATTCCATTACCCTTTCTGTGCCTAAATGGCAGTCTTCCAGCACATAATTGGTTTGTTTGGCACAACACACAGCTTGCAATTCTGTTGCCCTGCAGCATGGACATGTTAGTGTGGACCTGAGTCAATACAACTTTCTTCCTTACCTGCGACTCTTGGAATCTCTGTCATCTCTGAGTCCAGAGGATCCAGGACACGCGGTTTTTCCCCTTGCTCCAAGCAGGAGATCATAGCAGCACTGGGAATGGGAAATCCTGCCCAAGGAAAAGAAATGGGGGAGTATGTTGCAAACTCCAAACCTTTCTCAGCTGGAGGACTCATTCAATCTGGGTGGAAGGAAAATGCCTGAAGATGTCCAGGGGAGAAAGGCAACTGATGGCAGATGTGCTGAGTCCTCACATCCAGGGACCAGGTTCTGGCACAACACAAGGATTAAGCCAACTGCCCATTTCTGAACTTACACAGAGCCTGGAGTCCAGCACCTACCATGAAGAGAGCTTGAGCTCCAGAGAGAAACAGCCCACACAGAGGGAGTGAATGGGGGCTTGGGCACACTGCCATTCTGGCCTTCCATATAAGGTGCACCAGGGATTGCTATTACTGTGACTTAAGACAGCCTCACCAGTTTACCACCCTAGATCAAAGCCCAGAGAAGAAGCATGAGCTACAGTCAATGCAGGCACATCAGCCAGAGCAGTGTCTACATGCAAGCAAACCCTTACCAACTGAGAGCACAGTCTGGTCATTCTCTTGCATGCTGGTGAGTGGCCCCTGCCCTTTGGCCACACAGGGCCTCTGGGAGATTCAGACACCTCAGCCAAAGTAACCGGCACCTGAAACCACAGAACTTCACTCAGCCATGCTCCAGGGCTCCATGCACTTGGTCCACCCAAGCACCCCCGATGCCCACCATTGCCCCGGGGCCCATTCCATCCAGATGCCCCCAGGCCTGGAATGGGGAAAAAAAAGAGAAGAATCTGCAGCATAGAAATATACTTGAACTGGAGGGCTGGGGTGAGACCAAGCCCCGCAAGCATCACTGAAAGGCATGAAGACAGTACCTGAGCTCTCCAGCCCCTTGGATTAATTCAAACCACTTTCTTTATCACCCGCTGGTATTAACTGGAAAACTATTTTACAGGGCCTTCTCCTGAGAGTGGCATTAGAAGGATGGCATTGGTCTACAGGCTGCCCCAGGGAGCACCAGTCAGCCAGTTATGGGTGGGTTGAGGGTCACAGCCTGGGCCCCTTTAACAGAGGAATAAGATTTCTCTAGGAATTATATTTCTCTAGATTTCTCAAGGACAGGTGAGCACAGCCCCTCCATGCTTGGCTACGTGATGCCATGGAAACCCAAGAAGAGTCAAGGCAGCATGGGAAGGATGAGGATCCAGCACAGGGTCAGAGAGGTTGAGGGAAGAGCTGCGCAAGAGTGGCAAGGGAACTGGGGTAGGAGTGGCTGCTGGGACCAAAGCACAGCTTGGCCAGCTAGGAAACCATCTAGGAAATACAGTTGCTGGGGCCCGAGTGAGGTGGTAGCCACCAAAGGAACAGCAGCACTGTCAGTACCACTGTGTGGGGAGCTGTTGGGGGGGGTCAAGAGCCTGACTGAAAACCCTCATGCTTGCATTCAGCATGTGCAGTCCTGTAGGATGCTGGTATAGTTTGGCTGGGCAGCCCAGTCATTTCTCTAGAGGGGACATTGCCATTACCAGATATGCTACTGAGAAGCATATTTGGGGCACAGATTGAGAGTCCACATCACTCAGAAGCACAGCTGTCTCTGGGGTGGAACACAGCAACTTGTAATGGTTTCCAATACTGCCCTGTGATAGCTTAGGTCAGAGAATCAAAATGATCCCGTCCAGCTGAAAGTGCTGGAAGCATTTAGGAAGACAAAATGCAACTACCTGAGTTGGAAAATGGGAACAGTGAGCACCAGCTTGGCTCTTGCAAAAAGTGACATGTTTGTTCAGGACTTTGGTTTTACTTCTTACCTGAAAGAGGGCTCCTCCACCAGCCCAAGGTTCCCTTCACACAGACCAAGGGTACTGGTTCACTGTTGACTCAGAAGGAAGTGACCATCAAATGTCACCGGTACAACTTTATTCAGCTCCCCGTTTTTCCTACGGGGTTCCCCATCTAAAAGAGCCCAGTCCAGGCCCCTACAGCTGCAATGGCTCATATTACCCTCGCATAGGTGCATACTGTACACAGAAGTTTTGTTTAGCTAAAACTCAACTTACAGTATTTAACAAGGTTCACAACCCATGAAGCTAGGACACCAGCCTAGAAAATGACATTGGCTTTTTTTCTGAAGTCATGTTCAGCAACACTACAGTGGCAAAAAACATGGTATCTTCCTTGTCTCAACAAACAGCTTGGAACTGAAGTTTTCTACTTGGATTCATGCACCAGCAGAGAGAACATGGGAAGGGACCCATTGGTAAAGAGACCCTTTCCCCCAGGAGATGCCACTGCAAGCAGAACAGTCCCAGGCTCCCTGGGGAGAGATGTTCTCTGAGCTCTCTGTCTCTCCACAAGGAATATAAGAAACAGGATTTTTAAAAGGCAATGGCCCAATGGTTACTGTCACAGTCAGTGAAAACTTCACTGCATTGGAAGAAGAATGGGACCAATTCCAAGCTGGTGAAAATCCCATTCTTGGACAAGGTGCTAACTGCCACAAAATACCATTCTGTGAGCTATGGGCATGGGTGGCTCATTATTAGCTATAGGACAGCTGGGGAAACTGAGGCAGAGAGAGGAAAAGTGACCAGCTCAGTATTATCTCCACAGCCAAAACACAGCCTAGAGCACATCACACCCAACACTTCCCTGACCAGCATCTATTGGGCCATGCCACTCCTCTGAGCCCTAAAGCCCATGGAAGAGAGTTGAATTTGACATGAGATTCCCTTCTGCTCTTCCAGTAACGTTGTCAGGATGACCCCTCTGCCCTTTTCTCAGCTCCAGGATTGGTCACTTGCACATTTCTCTGTGTTGTGATGGTCACAACTGCACACCACTTGGCAATGTCTTAGTTGCAAGGTCTAACAGAACAACCGAGTCCAGGATCAGCTGCTGAGCCAGGCTTAGGTTTGCTGGTGCTTGTGGCAAGCTCTATGTAATCCTGTTTTGAAGGAGGGAGCTCTTGCACAGTACCCAGCACAGCCAGGAAGCTCTCAGCAGCCCCTGTTGCAAGGACCAGTGGAATTTGAAATCAATGGCCCCCAGGCAGTCACTGACATAGCAGCCTCTGCCACCTATGCTTCACCTTCCCCGTGGAGGTAAAACAAACAGCAGAGTCCTCTCCATGGTGAGATGTCCTCAGAGAGGGCTTCATGGATTGCTGCAAGGCCCCCGGAGCATCTCGCCACCATGCCTCTTCTGCACTCAGGCAGAGCTGCAGGCAGGCACTTGGTCTGTGAAGCCCTTGCTCTCCTCACTGTCAGAGAAGCTGGTAGCATCTCCCTCCCAGCCCCGAGGTTCTCCCTGCTGCCATTCCTCAGGCTGGAGCTTGTTGGTTTGTTTTGCTGCTTTCCACAGAGTCAGTGGTCCCACTTCCCCCACCCCACGTACCGCTTCTCCTGCCGTGACACTCACCTGAGGCAAGATCTAGAGGAGTTTCCACTGCAGGGGGGCAGAACAACTGCAGGGCAGAGAGCCCCAGACCCGTGCGGGGCACGTGTGACTGCAGCGTCTCATTGCATCCCAGTGGGCATGAGAACCTGGCCACTCTCCTCTTTTGTGTAAATTTTCCTTGCAAGTGGCTCTGGGAAACGTAGTTTTCTTTTGCAAAGCACTCTAGGAAGTGGAGTTTTCCTTTGCAATGGGAAGTGGGAAACGTAGTTGACAGCAGAGAGAACTGGGAAGGACTGCTAATACACCTGCATCTTCCTCTCCCAGGTCTGCAGCCTAACTAGCACCCTTGTCTTGGCCCTGTCTCCACACCTTGGCTGGGGTGGCAGGAACCTGGAGGCTGTCTGGTTCTGAAAGGTTTCAGTTTAGCCACTTTCCACACAGCAATAGGGCAAAACCCAGCATAGGCCCCTTCTCTGCATGGATGCTGTTTTGGGTGTGTAGTGCCTCTGAATGTGTAGTGGAGACTGGAACTGGATTTTTAGTCTCAGTAGGCAAAACTAATTTGGTGATGGTGCCATTTAACTATCTTAGGCAGATCTCCCAGGGAAATCAGGACACAGAGAGGTGGAAGAGTCTGCCCAAATAGGAGATGCAGGACTAGAAACCAGGCAGCCAATTTGGAAGTGGCTTGCTTGGCATAACCCCATATTTAAAAGGGGCAATTAGCCCTCTTCCTGACAGAGAGGGGGAAAGACTGAAAGCAGCACCAAGTAGCAACCCCCAGCTCTTGAAGGAACTGGATGTGAGCCCTGTAGACCAACCTGCAGGTGCTAGCAGCACACAAGGAGTCTCAGGGAGGTGAAGGATCTGTACAGTCGCCCAGCACTGCCCCAGCTAGAACCAGGTTTGCAGCTCCAACTCTGGTTCTGGCCGCAGCAAACTGCTTGTGACTGACCGTGGCAAGTCCTGCTGCACAAGTAGCACAGTGTCCAGAGAGCTGAAGCACTTCCCTCAGTCACAGTGTTACACCAGTGGCTGCCACTTTACTGTGTATGTGGGGGGACAGCAGAGGGCTGAGATGCCTGTGAGCTTGGAAGGGTGCTTGGTACTGCTGGGGAAAAAAGCTGTGGAAAGTGTAATGGCAGCAGTGCAGTTGTTAAAATCCAGCTGTCAGTACTGTAGTGGGAGCACAGCACCCTTGATTCTGTGCTGGCCAGGCCAGGCAGTGCCACTCACTCCTTCCTTTTTCCCACCATTTTCCTTTCAGCAGCTTTGTGCATGTGCTCCCTGTAAAGTCATGCTGCTGTCCTCTTCCAGTTCCCCCTTCTACCTTATCTCTGTAGCCATGGCTATATAATTCCCCATGCTAGCTGGGTAGTATGCTCAGTGAGGTTCCCCACCAGCATTCTGGGGCTGTGGGTTCCCAGGGGAGGAGACATATTAGGCTATGCCAGCCCCAGATCATACTTCCTGTGATACAGTAAATCACAGATGGACAAGTGCATGGGCCATGCCCTGGCTGAGGTCATCTTTGCCTGACACACTGCAAGCCCAGTGGTGTGGGAAGGTTCTCTTCCACTTCTGCCTCTGCCCCCAAAAGATCAGGGCCCAAGAGGTGTGCAAACTGTGGAGTCCTGCCTTTGGAATCAGCAAGGGTTGCCCCAGGACATTCAGAAGGTGGGGTCTATTTTTTTCAGCCACTACGTCCTGACCCACAACAGGCTGTGTATGCACCTGGCTCTTAGATACTGTTGCTCCTGGCAGATGCATGGTGTCAGGGGCTCTGGGCACTCCCTGACACCTGCAGAATCATAGAATAGAAGGACAAGTAAGGACCTGTAAGATCTTCAAGTTGATCCTGAAGAAGCAGCAAAACAAACCAACAAGCTCCAGCCTGAGGAATGGCAGCAGGGAGAACCTCGGGGCTGGGAGGGAGATGCTACCAGCTTCTCTGACAGTGAGGAGAGCAAGGGCTTCACAGACCAAGTGCCTGCCTGCAGCTCTGCCTGAGTGCAGAAGAGGCATGGTGGCGAGATGCTCCGGGGGCCTTGCAGCAATCCATGAAGCCCTCTCTGAGGACATCTCACCATGGAGAGGACTCTGCTGTTTGTTTTACCTCCACGGGGAAGGTGAAGCATAGGTGGCAGAGGCTGCTATGTCAGTGACTGCCTGGGGGCCATTGATTTCAAATTCCATTGGTTCTTCAAGTTTGGTCCCCCTGCCATGGGCAGGAGATAATTGAGCTCGAACGAGCTCAATGAGGTGCTTGTCCAGCCTCCTCTTAAACACCTCCAGGGATGGGGACTGCACCACCTCTGCTGGGAGTGTGTTCCAGATTCTAGATGCTGTTATGGAAAAGAAGTTTTTCCTTATGTCTAGCCTAAATTTTTCCTCAACTATCTTGTGCCCATTGGTTCTTATCCTCCCAAGGGGTGCCTTTCTGAAGAGTTCCTCCCCTAGATCTTGGTGTTCACCCCTGACATCCTTGTAGGCAGCTATCAAGTTACCTCTCAGCCTTCTCTTACTCAGACTGAACAAACCCAGTTCCCAGAGTCTCATCACAGGGTCTATCCTGCAGGCCCCTAATCATATGGGTGGCCCTTCTCTGTACCCTTTCAAGCTTATCCACATCCTTCCTGAAGTGTGGTGCCCAGAACTGGACACAGTACTCCAGCTGTGGCCTCACCAACACCGAATAGAGGGGAGAAGCACCTCCCTGGATCTACTGGCTACATGTCGGCTGATACACGCCAGAGTTCTAACTGCCCTGCTGGCAACTTCCTCACACTGTTGACTCATATTCATCCTCTGGTCGATTGTCACCCCCAAGTCCCTTTCGGATGTGGTGTCAGTCAGTGGACCACCCCCATCGTATAGTTATGGTGAAGGTTCTTCCTACCCAGATGAAGGACCTGGCACTTGTCCCTGTTGAACCTCATCTGATTGTATTTAGCCACTAGGACCAGTCTGTCAAGGTAATCCTGGATCCTTGCCCTACCCTCTGATGCGCCCACATTTCCCCACAGCTTGGTGTCATCCGCAAACTTAATCATTGCGCTTTCCACTCCCTTATTCAAGTCATTGATAAAGATGTTAAAGAGCACTGGCTCAAGCACTGATCCCTGGGGGACACCACTGGAGGCGGACCTCCAGGATGAGGCCACCCATCGAGTGCAACTCTCTGGGATCAGCCTCTGAGCCAGTTGCCAACCCAACTCACTGTAGACTGGTCTAGGCCAGTATCCTCCAACTTAATTGAGAGAATATCATGGGAAACAGTATCAAAGGCCTTACTGAAGTCTAGGTGGATGATGTCAAACTCACATCCCGTGTCCAGTTGGTTAGTTACCTGGTCATAAAAGGACACCAGGTTTGTTAAGCATGACTTCCCTTTGACAAAGCTGTGCTAGTTGCTTCTTAATACCCCACCAGTTATGAGCTTGTGATTGATGGCCTCCCTGACAATTTTTTCAAAGATTTTTCCCAGGATTGAAGTCAGACTGACTGGTCGATAGTTTGCAGGGTCATCCCTCTTCCCTTTCTTAAAGATGGGTACCATGTTAGCCTTCTTCCAGTCATTCGGGACCACTCCTGAGTTCCACGACTCTTCAGACAACCTTGCCAGAGGCACCACTATGAGCTCGGCCAGTTCTTTCAGGACTCTCGGATGCAGGTCATCTGGACCAGAGATTTGAAAATGTCCAAATGTTCTAAGAGTACCCTCACCTGTTCAGGACTGATTTCATGTGGACTGCTGTTTTCCCCGTATTCTCTGTACCTCTTTACATGTGATGTGTTCTCATCTGATTTCAAGAATACTGATGTGAAGTAAGTATTTAGGAGCTCTGGCTTTTCAAGGGGATCAACTGTGGGCTGCCTCCCCCACCCGTATTCAGTAGGGGCCCCACAGTAGAGCTTGATTTTTTCTTGCTCCCTATGTACCTATAGAAGGACTTTTTGTTGTCTTTTATTTTGGTTGCCAGTTTGATCTCCATGCATGCCTTGGCTTTCCACGTTTCATACCTGCAGACCCTGGCCATATGAGTGTACTTCTTTCTGGATGCTGAACTGTTTTTCCATTGCAGGTATGTTTCTTTTTTCTTTTTCAGAAGTTCCCTAATATCCCTGTTCAGCCAAGTGGGTCTCTTGGCCCCTTTCCATCTTTTTGACCGCATGGGGATGGCCTCTTTTTGAGCAGTGAGAATTGCCTCCTTAAGGAAGCACCACCATTCCTGAACTCACAAATCGTCCAGTCACTGGTTGCAAAGGGTCTTTCTAACTAGACTCCTGAGTTTACCAAAGTCTGCCCTTCTGAAGTCTAGGACTTCTGTTCTGCTGACAGAATTCCCAGACTTTTGGTGGATGGTAATTCTAATCAGATCATGATCACTGTCGCGTAGAGTACCTCCAATCTTCAGGTCACCTACCATGTCTTCCCCTTTAGTCAGCACTAAGTCCAGAGTGGCTTTACCCCTAGTCAGTCCCTCCATAGCCTGTGTCAAGAACAAGTTGTCTATAGCCGCCAATAAGTTGGCTGACTTGCTGGAGCTGGCTGAATGGTCTTCCCAACAGATGTCAGAGTAGTTGAAATCATCCATTATAATCAAGTTTTTTGTGCTGGCTGCCTTGGTCAGTTCCCTGGAGAATGCCTGGTTGCTCACCTCTGCTTGGTAGGGAGGTCTATAGTAGTCTCCCACCATCAGGTCCCCTTCTCCTGAGCCCCCTTATATCTTGACCTAGAGGGTCTGAAGGGGCCTCCCTGTGCAATCAAACCTGACCTGCAGGGAGGGGTACCGCTCTTTCACATAGAGGGCTACCCCTCCTTCCTTCTTCCCAACCTGATCCTTCCTATAGAGCCTATAGCCCTCAATATTCACTGCCCAGTCATATGTATCATCCCACCAGGTCTCCCAATAAGGTCAAATCCCTCATCTGCCAGAAGGAGTGATAGTCCATCCTGTTTATTGTCCATGATTCTGGCATTCCGATAAAGACACCTGAGTTTACTCCTAGTTTTCTCAGGATTTCTGTCACTGTGCAACTGTCTCAGGGTGTTGGCACTCATCTGGATGACCCCTATGTGAATATCCTCCCCTGGGTCATCTTGGCCAGAGGATTTGTGTACAGCAGTGGAATCTACCTTCA